GTAATAAGACCAATCGGGTTTAAGTTTTCTTCGTAGGATTCCACTGTTGGTACAACCTGTTTTCAACACCTGTTTAAATGATTGGTACAATTTAGAATCCACTGTGATGCTTGTATGTGAAAACTTGCAACAATATGATGACCATGATCATGCTGACCAATAGTATATAAGATTTTGCATCCATACATCATTTCATACTTCACTAAGCCATACACTTCGTTTCACTCTGTTTCTGGTAATCATTTTGTTCCTGTATAAATTTAAGTATATGCCTTTGTAATTAACCTTAAACGCTTTAATCAATGTGCTAAAAATGTGTCAGTAATTAAAACTTTATTAATCAACAGTTAATGTTCAAAAAATTTCATACTTTTTATCTTAAATTTTCATTACCGCCATTTGTATTTGTAAAAATTTGATAACATTTTATAAACAAGATTCAACTTCTCAGTATTGATCATATGTTAAATAAAATGCAAACTGATTTACAATGTTTGAGTACACATATAAGCCTTTTAATTCATATATTTGAAGTATATGTAGTTTTAACTAAGTTCAAACAAAAATTTATTAAAGTACTAATGCTAACGATAGCAATACATAAGCCTTATGAATTTACTAACAAACGGTGTTAACCAAATATAATTTTTGTATAATGTTGCTGAAATACAAAAATTTATAATATATAATCTTAGTACTTCTTTTTTAAAAACATTTAAATACAAACATGTTATTAATAAAGATAGTTACCATATATGAACATATGTGTTTTGAAAACTCATCCTTATTATTAAATATGATAAATTAAGCATCAATACATAAGATAATCTATATCGATATGCCTAAATGTAGTAAAATTATATACCTTTTTTGGGCAGCTTTGAGAGTTGTGTCCAACTCCACTGCAAATACTACAAACATATGATTTTTTAGTAACATGCTCAGCACCTGTCTTCTTGTGTTTAGTACCACTTGGCCTTCCTTTTGTCTTTGCGATAATAGGATCACCAATTTCTTCTTGCGATAATAGATATTTTTGATTTAATTGTTCCACAAAAAAGTGAGAGTATTATTTATTTCAACATGACCTACTTGATTAGATATAGTTTCAATGTCCTTAAGTAAATCCACAGTACTTCTTGTAGGCCTTTGTTGATTAGAGGATATATTGTAAATCATGTTATTGAATTCAGCAGTGGATTCAATAGTAGAATCAGTAGTAGATTTGGTAATAGATTCAGTAGTAGATTCAGTAATAGATTCAGTAGTAAATTCGCTAGTATATTCAGTAGTAGATTCGCTAAGATCGTCAACAAAATCATTTTGTTGTTCATATACAGTAAATTCTGATAGTGCGATAATCCAACGAGCACCTATATAATTAACACTTAAGGTTTTCTTATCAACAAAGTGAACAGCAAAAATATGATGACATGGCAAGGAGAATTGAATCTTATAGTTACAAAAACAAATATACATAGCATTTGTTTTATATATTGTATATTTATTACTGTCATTATGATAAACCTGGACCAAGCTATCATCATATTTCTTAATATCATAAGCATTAGCCATACTGTGTTGCTCTAATAATAATGTATACACAAAATCTGACATGACCACTTAAACTCCCTTTAGTAATTCGAGACACTGTTGACGAGTGCTACTACGTAAACGATACTGTTGATATTGAGAATGCTGGAGTTGGTGTTGAGTTAATTTTTCTAATGCATTAATTAATTGAGGTAGAAGTACTGTATGACCAAGTAATCTTTTTAGATGCGCGTTAGTGGCTTCAGACCATTGTGTTGTTCGTATTCTATAGTTGACATAATTATTAGTATAACAATATGCCCACATATTATCATAAGATTTCCATTGCTCTACCATATAATTACCTACCTCAGGATATTTAGATAATAAACAATCCCATCGAACGGTAAATTGCTCCTCCGTAGTTTTAAACATCACTGCTTTGAAATCTTTGTTAAATGCTGTAAACTTATCTTTAAGCTTGTCAACTAAATTCTTAATTATATTCTGCTCAATGTGCTAAACACAAATTTGATGCTTAACGTGTGACAATTCAGTTCGTATCACAGAAATAAGTGCACGATCAGCATCAGTTATAACTGTTTGTATATCGTAAAAAGTCTTATCTTCAACCATTTTTTTTAATTGACCAAATGCCTAACAAAAATTTAAGGCTGTTTCATTAGCGAGAAGACAGCTTGCTATAAGAAATATAACACCCATTGCATCAACACCGCTGATAAGTAAAAGTGGCATTCCAAATCGATTTGTTTTGTACGTAGAATCTATTAACAGAATCTCCAGATAACGCTTAAACATTGAAAGTGCCGAACAGGTAGCAAAAAATAAACAATGAAGTTTTCCATTATTGACTGAATATGTAACATGATATTCGTTATTATTGTTTAGGTTATTTAATAGTTCAGCAGTTTGAGATAACCCTTTTACATAGTCGTGGAATTGGCGATTTAAGGAATTATAAATATCCTTATTATGAATGTACCTATTATACTGTTCAGTTAACATATTTATGATTGTTGGTACTGGTACACCACTATTATAGAGTGTTTGTACATACATACTTTCATTGCTGCTTAACCTACGGTGATCAGGATCAAATATAACAGCGGCAGAATCCAAAGGGTAGTTGTGTTCAAGCTTAGCTTCCCTTATACAATATTTATTTTTTGCCCATCTAATTACTATCTTAAATTTACAATCAATAGCAATACTTTTAGTCTTTCGCAATCCAGTACTTTTTTTAGGTGGTACACCAGTACGGCAACAAACAATTTCCGCTCTAAGAATAAAGTCCATACATCTTTCTGTATAATGAAGCCTTGTGGAAAAGTCTTGATTTATTGCATAAGCGATAATGTGTTGCTGGACATCATACCAATCATTAAAAGTTTGACCAACTAATACCTTAACAGGATTGTTATTAGTCGAAGATGCTTGTTCAGGTAAAGTTACGTTACAACTACTATTAAACAGGTCAAAAGACTCATCATCTATTATAACTATATTATTATTTGTTGAAGGTACTTCTTGTTCAAATAAAATTACGTTACAACTACCATTAAGAAGGTCAAGAGAATCATCATCTATAATAGCCGTATTATTACTGGTTAAAGGTGTTTGTTCAAGTAAAATTATGTTACGACTATTATTCAAAAGGTCAAAGGCATTGTTATCCTGATCATTACTAATATTAATTTCAAAGCTAGTTCCAATTTTATCATCACAGTCGTTGTTTTTAGACAATTGTTCAAGGTTCATTTTTTACTGCGGCAATCGACAAGTTTTATGGTGCAAAAAAAAAAAATAATAAAGGAAAAAATCACATGTATAAATGAGTTTATTCTTGGTGACAGATTTGAGTAACAAAAAGTAAAAATTAACTTTGCGTGTCATTATATCTGCAGGTATTCAAACTCTGACCAAAGTTTTTATGCTTCATGTTTCATATGATTACATATTCGAAATTTTTAATAAAAGGGTAGTATTAAATTTGACGTTTAAGCCAATTCAATGAATTTTTTTTATTTTAGTTCTACAGACTTGTAGAATTAAAATAAAAAAAAAAGTTCATTGAATTTGCTTTGATGGTTGCCGAAATATCTTCAAAGCCTTAAAAAATTTTTTTATTTAATAGATAGACGTTTTAATCCTTTCCCAAACTTTGAACGAAGATATCTTGATAACTATCTAAGCAAATTCGATGAACCTTCTGTTATTTTAATTTTACAAGTTTGTAAAATTAAACTAAAAACGTATTCATTGAATTTGCTTAGATAGTTATCAAGATATCTTTATTAAAAGTTACAAAAAAAAACTAATTTTTAATATTGATTGATCACTTGTGTTAATAATGAAAATATGCATGTCATTATAATTTCTCTTATATATAGTAATCCAAAAATTTAGTTCAAATTAAAGTTTAAATTAAATAAATTTAGGTTAACAGTGATTATGTGACAAATGTTACAAAAATAGTAGTTATGTGACTAATTTTGATAAATGATTCTGTATATAAAATAAACTATACTAGCTACATAGTCACATGATGGGTTAATTTAACTTGAGTCAAAATAAAATTTCTTTATAAAAAAAATAGTTTATATTTTTTTTAACTAATTAAAATTTTTTATATAAAATTAGCTAATCAAAATTAATTAAATAATTGTAAATTTGGTGCTTTGTATAAAAAAATTATATGATTTTTGCTGTCTTGTACTGTACAAATTTAAATATATTTATATACAACTTTACAAAATTTTGTTACAGAATCAGTATATATTTTAGATTTTAGTTGTAAAAACTTATAAGAGGTTACTCATAATTTATATAAAGAAAAATATATAGTAAAGATCTATAAAAATTTAAAAAATACCAAAATTGATGATATTTTATAATCTAGTAATCCAATTTTAACAATTTTAGATCATTTTAACTATCTCATCATGATAAATCAAATGATATCAAAAGTATTAAATTACATTTCATTAAAATTTAAAAATATCTAATTGTCTCACTAACTAATAGTTTAAATTTAATAATTTTAATATCATTTGATTTATTTTGATAAGCATTAAAATTAGATTACTAGATTATGAGATAATTACAAAAAACTATATATGACAGTTTTTTTAAATTTTTATAATTTATTATGTTATAAATAGTTTTTTATAAAT